GCAACAGTTAGAACTGGATATGGAACAACTGATTGGTTCAAAATTGGGAAAGGAGCATGACAAGGCTGTATATTGTCTCCCTGCTTATTTAACTGATATGTAGAATACATCATGCGAAAGGCTGGATGAATCCCAAACCGGAATTAAGATTGCCGGAAGAAATATGAACAACCTCCAATATGCAGATGGTACCACTCTGATGGCAGAAAATGAGGAGGAATTAAGGAATCTTGTAATGAGGGTGAAAGAGGAGAGTGCAAAAAATGGTCTGAAGCAAAACATCAAAAAAACTAAGATCATGGCCACTGGCCCATCATCTCCTGGCAAATAGGAGGGGAAGATATGGAGGCAGTGACAGATTTTACTTTCTTGGGCTCCATGATCACTGCAGATGGAGACAGCAGCCCCGAAATTAAAAGACATCTGCTTCTTGGGAGGAAAGCAATGACAAACCTAGAAAGCATCTTAAAGAGCAGAGACATCACCTTGCTGACAAAGGTCCGCATAGTCAAAGCTATGGTTTTTCCAGTAGTGATGTATGGAAGTGAGAGCAGGACCATAAAGAAGGCCAACTGCCGAAGAACTGATGCTTTTGAATTGTGGTGCTGGAGGAGACTCTTGAGAGTCCCCTGGACTGCAAGGAGAACAAACCTATCCATTCTGAAGGAAATCAACCCTGAGTGCTCACTGGAAGGACAGATCCAAAAGCTGAGGCTCCAATACTTTTGCCATCTCATGAGAAAAGAAGACTCTCTGGAAAAGATCCTGGTGTTGGGAAAATGTAACAGCAAGGGGACGATAGAGGACGAGATGGTTGGACAGTGTCACTGAAGCTACCAACATGAATTTGACACAGCTCCGGGAGGCAGCGGAAGACAGGATGGCCTGGCGTGCTCTGGTCTATGGGGTCACAAAGAGTCAGACATGGCTTAACGACTAAACAACAACAAGCCTTGGGCATGCTGTATAGTCCGAAGGTACCATTAGAAGAAGGGGCTGGTAAACCACTTCTGACTACTATATATGTAGAAAGTGCTGGAAAGGGTCTCCGTAAGTCAGAATTGACTTGATAACATACAATTATCCATTACCATATTATTAGCAATGGGTAGCCATGGGCATGCTGCTCTTTCAGCCTCAGCCTTTGCATCTGCAAAATAGAGATAATAAGTCTGATTAACTTAGAGGTTGTAAGTACAGAGGTGTAAGGATAACCAGATCATAAACATTGAGCAGTCTGGTGAGCCTGATACAAATCTGCGAATAGTTGCAAGCGGCAATTATCCATTACCATATTATTAGCAATGGGTAGCCATGGGCATGCTGCTCTTTCAGCCTCAGCCTTTGCATCTGCAAAATAGAGATAATAAGTCTGATTAACTTAGAGGTTGTAAGTACAGAGGTGTAAGGATAACCAGATCATAAACATTGAGCAGTCTGGTGAGCCTGATACAAATCTGCGAATAGTTGCAAGCGGTAAAGTTTCAACCAGATCATAAACATTGAGCAGTCTGGTAAGCCTGATACAAATCTGCGAAAGAGTTGCAGAGTTAAAGTTTCTATATCAGCAAGAAATTGCATGAGTGGGCACAAGTTCTAAATTTCTACTTGTTTGTCCAGACAAGAAAGGGGAAGCAGGCTGGCTGGAAACGGGTCTGTGGCAAAAGTCTGTGGCAAAACTGTACACGTGCAAGAAGCATTCCTGCATGGCAACCACAGACTGTACCTGCCCATGAAATTGGGGTCTGCCCCCTGCTTGCTTATGCCCACCCAGGTTCAGCCCATAAGCACATCCCACGAGAAAGATGCCCACAAGGATGACGCAGGAGGAGACTGTGGGCTTCGAACAGCGCTGCAGCATTGCTCCCATCGCTCTTACTGAAGGACTGATCAACTGTCGGGGTAAGAGTCTGGTTGTGTGTGTTTGGTGTGTATGTGAAGTGTGAAAGAGGCCTCTTGATACCTTTGTCTTACATTTTAAATGAATGAAAAGCAATAAATGTCACATGAATAGTGCTTGAACTAAAAAACTGGTGTACGGTCTCCTTGTCAGCAATCTGGCTGAGTCTCTCTCCTGGCCCTTCTCCCCAGGATATAAAGAACATAAATCTTGCAGGTAACAGAAGTCAGTGAAGTAATGCACACTGCCATCTAAAAATGCTTCCCTCATAATACCATTATGTCCAGTAGCACTAGGACTGCTTTAACGAGGCTACACAAATGCTAAATATTGTCTTCTAGTGTGACTCAGCACACATGTGTGTTTCCAGTTTAACTTTCCTTAGCACACATCACCTGGGCTATGAACCTCAAGTGCTGCTAGTATCGATTGTGGACCTTTGCTTAGCCCTGGGGTTGGGGGATATTTTCCCCCTTGTGCCTCCCTCATCCAAACAAAACAGCCAGTGGCATTCATGCCAGCTCCAGGAGAAAACCAGCTGGTTTTCCTACCAAGGGGGGGGGGAAAGGGGTTAAGAGTCTCCAGGTCAGCACCACAGTTGTGTTCAAAGGTACTGTATCCAACCTCAGCATAACTGTGATATGTTGAGCCTTCTGTAAGAGAGGAACAATAAGAACAAAAAAGTTTAGCTGAGTTCACCACTGAATGCAGACACAGGTATGCTTTTTAAAAAAACAACACTTTTTGCCCTTTGTAAAAAGGAATCATCAATGTGATAATTGTAACCAGTTAAAACAGTAATCCTATAGGCCCTTACCTGGAAGTAACCAAATTAACTTCTGAGTAAGTACTGTATTTAGTCGCATTGGAAAGAAACAGGAGTAAATTGAAAAAAAATATACAGAGAGATGCATACTGTATTTACTCCACTGGCCTTTGAAAGTTGTCCAGAACACTGTTGAGTTTATTTTAGGCATGTTTTGAATTTAAGATCTCCAGACGTATATAAAGAGCAAAATATTATGCAAGGTAAAAATCATAATAGAAGGGAAATGGGCAATTCTAGACAAGGTTTTGTTGTGCAACTTCTAAATGAAAGCCCATCAAGCATCTGGGGACCCAAATTTGGGGACTACAGAACTAGTCAGATATATTCCATTACCAACTCTGATTGGCAGTGGTTTTCTAGGCACACAGAAGCAATGAGGATGCTTCTTGATGGAAGGCTCCAAGCCATGGGGGTGGGGGTGGTCTTTTCCTCTACCAAAAATGCTTTGAAGAGTTGGGAAAACATGAGAGTTAAAATTGGAAGACATCATCTGAACCCTGAGTGGGAAAGCATACAAGAAAAACCTAATGGAGAAGCACCCTGAATGTTGGATTTTGGCATGCAAATTGTAAAGGATTCACCCCAAGACAACTACCATAATGCTTTTTGATCCCAACAGTTCTATGTTGAACTAAAACTTGGTGGGTGACATACCATAGATCAGATATCTGGGTAGACCAGAGTATCATGGTGGGATTTACTTCTAAAACTATATGTACAAGATTGTTCTGTTAATCTGGATTGTACAACATCCACTAACGACTGTTAGGTACAGGCCGATCTTTTGTTATCACCTTAGATGGGTGATACAGTACAACAGCCTCTTTTACTGGGATCAACTGAGCCGCGATCAAAATGCATAGGAATCAAGTGACAAGAGGAGCATTTCTGAACCCGCTCCTGAGCCGCCTCCTGCCATTCACACAATCTAAGTGGTGCATTTGGTCGTTGATGGAGGAAAGTCTTCACAGACTGATACTGCACGGAATGAAAGCCTTAGGCGCACGTCTGAGATAAAGAGGATTTCGATTGCCCGTGCACAGGACGCAGCTCTAAATGATGCACATGGATGTATATGCATCGTGCCTGGCTATCTAAAGGCTGCAATCCGACGCAGGCCCCACCCGCGTGTAGCTCCCACTGAACCGTGCGGGGCTGACTCTCGAGTCAACACCCAGGGGACGGAGAGCCTACACGTCAACCCTCCAAGGGACCCGGACCCGGGGAAGACGGAGCAAGCGCCCGCCTTTTCAAACCACCCCGCAGAACTCGCAACGCCCCTGCCTCTCCCCCTTTTACCCGACGAACCCCCGCCCTCGCTTTTCTTTGCCTCGCCCGCCCAGGCTGAGTTTTAGCCTATGGGGCCGGCGAGGAGTCTCCACGTCCACATCTCCATTGGCGGAGGGAGAAGCGGGAGGCGGGAAGCGGGGCTGCCATTGGCGTCGGGAGCCAGGGGGCGGAGAAAGAGCTCGGCGCGCTTGCCCGGCTGGGCAGCTGCATGTAGCGGAG